ATTAAAAAACAATCCAACAAGCTCACCAAAAAATATATAAAATTAAAAAGAAAGAATCTATTTTTTCTCATATTCATCACAAATAATATATTTTTATAAAAAAAAAAACGTAAATTTATTAAGAAACAAATTTTTTTTTTAAGAACCCTAAAATCGAGCCAAAGAACACAGATTCTTTGGAGTCAAAATCGGCGCCAAATCTTTCATTTTTCGAACAAATTGATAGGGGGATATGATAGATACTTCAATCACAATTAAAATGCCCCTAAAATCATGAAGATCAATTCACAATTGAGATCATTCTTCAAAAAATGGCAGATATTTCACTTCATGCAATTTTCAAAACAAAAACGCACCAAATACAAATTCATACAAATAAATATACTGAATGACAAATCAACATACCTAATGTATTCGATTTATGAAGCCTTGATGATCAAATTTAACTGATCAATTCAATAAAAAACGATCAATACATCGATAAAAAATCAATTTTTTTTTAATCGAACATAGTTCTTTGAGCAGCAGCATTTTCGGCCGAAATCAACCTCCAAAATTCATCTTTTTCGACAAATCGAAATAGAAAAAAGTTTAAGGATTCAATAATGAATCAAAGCCCTCGATTTCCATACATATTTATGGGTTTTGGTAAGTGATCTAATCTCTTCAGCCATGGAAACTCAATCCTGAACATAATCAAATTCCTTTATCCATGGATATCTTTCTCCAGGAGATTCACCTTGACTAAGCCGCTTTCTCATGTTCCTTTCATGAGAAAGTGAGAACTAAGAAAGCAGTAACGGTCACAATACTATACAAATTAGTAGCTTTATCCTGCAAGGTATAAAGCTGATTTCTTGGGAATCTTCCTTGTGAAAGATATTCCCATTGAACCAAACGTGCCCAAAACTAAATCTTGATCCAAGTAACCATGATCTATGGCCGAGTCGAATTGGTCGAATCTAAGAACAGGGTCCAAAAGTATAGAAGGAAAGCGACACCAATTCTCCAAAAATGAAAGCAATGGACTAAAGCCCCTTTCAGCATCTTCTAATCAATCTTCCTCTCTTAAGGTTTTCTAATTTTGAAATTAAACTACCACAAATTGCAGCCGGTAGCATCCGAGCTCTTCAAAGGGCCGCACAAACCCATCATGGCCCGAGGTTGGGTCATGCCCTGCCTGAGCCTGGGCCATGAGAGGTTGGCACAATTAGACCTGGCCTAGCCCTTTTTTCTTCAATTTTTTTTTCCTCTATTTTTTGTTGATTCTGTGTGGCCCATCCTTGCCCTGGGCCTAGGCCTCTTTGGTCTGGGCCAGCGCCCTACGGGGACTAGCGCTACCCCGGCCTGGGCCCGGCCCCTTGCCAACCCGACTTCCAATAGAGTTTCAATGGTTGGGGTGGTTCCATTTGTTTAGTGGCCTTTGGAGTAGAGGACATGTTTGCATAAAGACGACTCGAGTGCATAGTTCCATGGTTGAAGAAGCTTTATAGCTCATGTCCTGTATATAGGTATGCATATTTCGAGAGGTCATGGTGGTAAACATAACCAATTTGCCTTTGGCATTTTGGTAATTTAGCCTGGTTTAAGTAGCCCAAGTCAAATGGTAAAAATAGCATTGATTGTTTAAGGTTAGCAATATGTAGAATAATGAAAACTCATGGTTGTTTAGGAAGGCGGGGCTTTTTGCTCTGGCGAAGCCAAAGCTAGTTAGCAACTCAAATTCACTATTTTCTAGGGCTTGCAATGGGTTATCGCCCTGGTTCTAAAAAAAATAGGGCATGGGCTGTAAAATGTGGACGGAGGGCTAGGACAGGACCTAGCCAGGCTTGGGCCTAGGCCTGGGCCACAACAATCCAAACAAAGCCGACCATATTCGGCCCAAAGTAGCCCCTAATTATTTTCCTTCTTTTTTTTTTCTGCTTTTTTCTTGTAATGTACTCGGCTTGGCCTTGATAGAGCGAGAAAAGGGCTGGGCCTAGGCCCATTCGGCCCTATTAGTGCGAAGCCGGCCTTTAAGGAACTAGGGCCCTAATAGGGCCAAGAATGGCCTGGCCCATTGCAAGCCTTATTTTTTCAAATTTTAATTATTCTATATTCTAACCCTAAACAATCATGGATATTTCATCATTTGCTCCAGTGACATTAAATCATCAAAATGCCCTTGTTCAAGTAGGTCATTTTGATATATCTTTCAAGGAGGTGCACGAGTGAAATTAAATTAAAAAAGCACACTCATAATGTTAAGTGAGATAATTTGATCACCTTAACCATTTAAATTAATACTTTTTCCTTTTTTAATTATCTCCCCGACTAATAGTGATGTGTTTCAGGTGACATCATTAGCTGCGTTTGCTCTGTACGTCGCTTGAGCTCTTAAAGTTGCCTAGGTTCTTCATTTTCCCTGTGAGAGAGAGAAGGGGGGACACCTAAAGAGGAGAAAGTAAACTAAGCCTGCCTTTTAAAAGAGAAGAGAATAGGATTCCAAAAATCAACATCACGAGTCTGTCGAATAATACGACTGGCCCCGGCCTCACCCTCACCCTCCATTCCCATCAATTAACATATCAAAAAAATTAGAAAAAGTCACGACTCGCCGGCCTGTATTTCCACGCAACCCCATATCTTTCACATTAGTGATACGAGGAAACCTCCTCCTGCCTTCTGCCTTCTCTCCATATAAAAGCAACAACCCCGTACCCACCCTCTCCGTCTAAATTCAATACGCACTACTTTCCCTCCCTCTGAACCCAATCCAAGCACTAATACCCTCTCCTTAGCACTTCTTCCTAATTCATTCACCATGGAGAATGGAAACTCTATGCTCAATGGTGAAGGCATATGTGAAAGACTCTCCAACAATTTGGCCCTGACACCACTCAAAAGGGTTAGCCATGTGACCAATAACATGAGGGAAGTGCCTATAGAGTCCCCAGAAAAGGAAAATGGCATTCTAGTCCCTTATCAAGCAAGAGTTGTGGAGGCCCAAAACCAAGCACTAGGCACCCTAGAGAATGGGCTAGGTGCAGCTAAGCCCATGCGCCTAGCCTATAGCCAACCCACTGCTCGCACAACTGGGGACCCCAGTTCGCAAAATAGGGGCCCACCCAACATTAGAGCCCCTCTAGTAGCCCCCAAGGTGGGCCCTACAAAAGCCTCACCACAAACTCCTACTGCACAGGTGAAGGCGGGCCCTACACAAGCTCCAATGGAGATTAAGGTGGGTCCCACAAGGGCCACTCTATCACCTGATGTAGAGGCCAAGGTGGGCTCTAGACAAGCATCCCGGGCTCAAGAGACCCCTACAAAGCCCATTGCTTCTCCTCGGAAGAGCAAGGTGAGCCCTACTAAGACCCCTAGAGATCCTACTCTAGGCACCATGGTGGGCCCTAACAAGTCCCCGCTAGCTCCTTCCCTAGATGCCCAGGTGGGGCCCATAAAGGCTCCAATAGCTCCTTCAAAGGCCGCGGCGGGCCCTTCAAAGGCCCAACAAGCCCTAGTGGTGCCCACACAAGCCAAGGACCACAGTAAGGGTTCAGTCACCTCTCCAATTCAAGAGAAAGGCCTAGACAAGGATAGTTCCCTTCCTCGCCAAGTTCAATATGATGTAAGAGTGGGCCCTGAAAAATCCCAGGCCCAAGAGAAAGGACCCAGCAATGTGGATCCCACTACTAATTCGAGCCAACAAAAGAGTGGGCCCACTTGTGTCAAACCGCAAGAGAGAGATCAGGTGGTAACCAAAGTTGAAGCAGTTCAAGAGAAAGGAGGTGTAAATAAATTTCAATTGCCAAGAGTTGTCTCCAATATAGATAAGAAATCTGGTGATTACATCCAGCGTTTTAAGGACAAGATGGCTAGGGCTATTAGTTTCCAAAATCCTAAGTCTTCTTCTTGAATCGAATGGGATTTTTATCTCTCTCACACATATATGGTGAATTGTGGCGACTTGAGGCCTCGAGTTTAGGGGGTGTTCATAGTTTTTATGCTATTAAAACTTCAGGTGCTTTGAGATACTCTCTCTCTCTCTCTAC